TAAAAATACAATATTAAAAAAAAAACGAAATAATGAAAACATAATTTTTAGAGCCTAAAAATATCGCACGAGCGTATATTTAAATAGCTATCACCATCAGTCCATCAGTAAGAAATTAAAGTAGAAACCCGCACGAAATTATCAGGCATCGTGCTCGTGCCTCACGAAAATATTAGACATTATTATTGTTACAACAATATTAGCAATAACTCGCCATAATAAATATCGACCCACACAATGGCTTCCTCTTACACGATAAAGATTAATGAGTTACTGACTGAATCACACTTATGCCACTGACACGTGTACAAACTCTAGCTTCTTTGTAGACTTTTCCTGGTCGGCACAAATATCCTTTGGTCGGAGCACAATGAGTATCCTTCGAACATATACACAAACCCTCTAATGCACATCCATCTTTTACTATTGTTGCGTTTGCTTTGATCCCTAGGATCTGGTCGGTCCATTCGCTAGAGAATAACCCCGTCGGATCATAAATTCCTTTTACTTTCAAGAACGCGGGTGCATTTTTGTACTTTTTAATCACTCCATCAAACGCTAAGTTTCTATTCTTACCCCAATGTGGCAATGCGTTATACTTAAACAATGCAATTTGCTCGATTTCTTCGATGAAATCCTCATAAAGTCGTGGTGTTAATGGGTTCTTGGCTCGGTAATATGTTAGGTCGAAGTCTAGGGCTTCTGTTTCTTTCCCAAGATAAGCTGGAGAAGATGTGACATAACGCATTAATATACCGTAGTAGAGCTCAAGTCCGCATAAAGATTTTGACTCGATCTTGACAAGAGATTTGATGTCGTTTATGAAACTTTTGACTTGCGTGAGCGGAACACTAAAAGTTGTTTGGTGGAAGAATTCGCTTTTTATACGTGAGTCCCACGGACACGCGGTGATCAATCCATCTTGAAGACTGTCTAGGCACGATCCTGACGACATCATACGATTTTGGGTTCCAATGACCGGATAGCCGGTAAATATAATGCCTAATGCCGGTGAATATTTAAGACAACGTTAGGAGTGAGTTAATACTCGATGTGAAATCAATGAAAATGTTCAAGTAAAAATGAAGAAATTTTTAATTTAATTACCATTGTTGGTCAAACCGTATGCAGTAGCAAATAGTGTAGATGAAATGAGTGTGGCTCCCACACACTTCCCATTCGCATCTCTGAACGTCTCTTGCGTCTCCTCTTTATGAATACAGGACAAAAACAAAAAAATATGTAGTAAAACATTTAAGGGTTAATTTGGTTAATAACCAAAAAAAAATTATAATATAATAACTAATTAAAAACTTTAAAATTAGTGGCTATGATTAGTGCCACATAGGGTGTTAGGCTTAG